ATGTATTTTGCGTAGATTATCTTATGTATGGTTACGTATTGTCAATATGCATTTTTTTTAATCATGTGTTTATTTCTATTAATGATCTTTTGCATACATTGCATTACTTATTTAATTAGTTACACAAATATTACAATAAATGTTAGAGTTTTGGTTAAATAAATATGTTTTCTAATAACCATTTTGAAATTGTAATTAAATTGGTATTTAAATTTCGCATTTTATTCATGCATGACACGTAATTTTATGCTACTAATACGTACGAGTACAAGCTATATTAAATTTTAAATTTTTTGACACTCATTTTAATAGAAAATTTACAAAACTTCGTTTTAAAATCATAGTTCTTGACATAAATAAACATAAGCAATATTCCTAAAAAAATTCTTAACGTTAAAGAATCGCTAGGAAAATAATTAGAACTGTAAAAGAATTTTTTTAGTCAACAATTGTTGTACGAAACATGATTACATTTCGTGTGATTAATAATTTGTGACGTCATAATGTGTACTTTTTTGCTATATCTTTAAATAAACATAGTTGAAATAATTACAAAAAAAAAATACAAATAATATAATAATATCTAATATATCTAATAACATGTTTTTGCCAAACTTTATCTATATATACTTTCTATCACTTATCCACTGTCACTTCAGGAAGTTTAGTAGTATTTATCCGTTTATTTTAATGGTACCAACTTACTATTTTTAACATAGGCTAGGCTGTTTTGCATATGCAGTTACTGCACTCCTATGCACATCATTAGTACTGTAAGATCACATTTGAAAGTCACACTAAAATGAATGAATCTCCGCTAAGCCACCGGGATCAACATTCCAGTTCCCCAAAAATACTAGGAAAAAACAAATCATAATAACAAAACTTCTAACCATTATAAATATGTATCTTATCGCGAAGATTATTTTTTTTATTAAAGTATTTCTAATCATAAATAAGTAATTTCTTTTCCTTAATACAACGATTTAACAAAGAAGAAAAAATTCGTATTTACTTTAACAATGCAAGATTTTAATATTTATAAAAATTTGTTTATTATAGATACTCTTTAAATTTTCTCATCAAAAAACATACAAAATTTCGAAGAACAAAATAAATCAATTAAAAAAATTTCTGTATTTTCTCAAATAAAAGTAATAAAAGTACATTTATAAAGTAACAAAATCATGAAATTTTTTTCAGACATATGTATGTAATTCATGACCAAAAAATAATATTTTCTTTAGTAATATACATTTTTTTTTTTTAAAAAAAAAAAAAAAAAAGCTTAATTGAAGGGGAACTCTTCCTGCCGATCATTTGGTCCATAAATTTTAGGATGAAAAAAAGGCGGAAGAGTTCAAAAGTGTATATGGAAAGTNATGTATGTAATTCATGACCAAAAAATAATATTTTTTTATTTCATTTAATGATTCACATCATAATAAAAAAATAAAAATAGCTTAATTGAAGGGGAACTCTTCCTGCCGATCATTTGGTCCATAAATTTTAGGATGAAAAAAAGGCGGAAGAGTTCAAAAGTGTATATGGAAAGTTAGTTTTTTTGCGCATTTCAACATGACCAGCTTTTTATTCACTCATTTACGAACATTTTGGTATAAGTTAAGTTTGGGTCAAATAGTGTTTTTCGAATTTCTTTCCCAAAAGTTGTTTCTTTCAGTCAGACCACGGTGGTGATCAAAAAAAGGGCCAAGTAGGGCGAGGTGTTGCTCCAATAAAGCTTTTTCAGAAGGAGATGACAAGGTATAGAGAAATAAAAAGAAAACTTACGTTGGATTAGTGAAGACTAGTGTGGACGCTGGACGCTTTGGAAGTTTTGGTTTGATTGGGATTTTTCGTTGAAATTTTTTTCGGTTGGCGCAGCAAAAAATTTTAGCACGCAGCTGGAATAAGGTGATTAACTGTGGGACAAATTGCGGCAAAAAGTTTATCCAGGTAAGGATCAGCCATATCCGCAGTTATCACGTGTTATGGAATTGGTGAAACTGTAGAAAGGATGATCTACTGCGGGGCCTATCAAACTCTGCGGTGAGTTTTGAAAGTGAGGATTTAGAACAGCTAGTTTCGGGATAGGGAGTGTAATAGTCATGGCTCGTAAACAGGCATGCACGCTTCGAGAGGAACTAGTTGGGTTTAGGGTAAAGTGTTGGGAAGATGGTTTAGTTTGGTTTAGAAATAATGTTAGTTAGTTTTGTTACAGACGTATGACGTATATAGTTTGGTTAAGTAGGGACATGATTGATTGATTGAAGGGTATGTTTTTGTTTTTTTTTTGTTTTTTTTGTTAAGTGTGAAATGTGTAAGGTATTAATAAAGTATCTATGTGTGGGAGTTTGATGGAGTTTGGCATTGGCGCTAATGCTTGGTTAAAATTGTTAAACTGGACGTAAAAATGGCTAGTGTGAAATTTTTTTGGTTTGGGTTTATGTATTTGTATGATAAAAAATTTTTATTGTAAATTATTTGGTGCATCAAAATTCTTTTTCTATAACATAAAAGTAGGAATTAAACAGCTTCAATTTAAGCTTAAGGTTAAACTGTTTCAAGAAAAAGAACTTCAACGTACTAGTATAAATCTCTTTATTACTCTTTATAATAAATAAATTCTACGCACGCTTATTCAATTAAAAACAGTTTAAGCATGAGAAAATTAACATTCCCAGCAACAAATTGCGATTGTTCACATCAGAATCTTACTTTACAAACACATCATAAATTGATTATAGTTACCATTTTAAATCGTGCAATTAAATAAGGTGTTGAGCAAACTTTAAAAGTCAAAGTTAGCCTCATGAATTACATAGCATATGATTTTTCATCCTTTGGAAGAGATTTGTCAGCAATAACTGTTTGTATTTTAAATACATGTTGTTTTTCCAAATTATTTTGAATATTAGGGTCTACTAATGCATATGCTCTATTGATTACAGCTTTAACTACTTCTTGTCGAATAGTAGCCATAATACTGTGATAAAATTTAAAATACAATTTTAAACATTAAAGGATGAACGGAAATAAAAGACTATTAAATTCAGGCAGTCTGAATTCTTAATCACGTGAATTAAAATTGAGTAAAAGGAAAATAATATGAATAAACAAAAAAAAACATTAATAAGTGTATATAATAAATTGAAACGTAATATTTTCTATCTAAAGAATTGTATATAATGAAAAAACTTTTTACATCCAAAAGAGGAATTTTATTTTGTGGTCTGCCGTCTACGTGTTGCATAAAATAATAAATATGTAAATAAAATAATGAAAATCATTTGGCTGAAATTTTTGAGTCGTACGGAACTAACGGAAGATTAATTAGGAAATCCATTAGGAATACTCTTACTACACCACCTAGGAAAGGTGTGATGCCTAACCGTCGCCGTTCACGTGACTGCCGCGTTCGCGACAGAGAATTTTTTTGTGGTCTGATCTCTATTTGTCACCTGCATAATATGTCACCTGTGTTACCATAAACATATAGCCGAGGGTGGTAAGATGATTAATTAGTTTCACAAAATTACGTAAACAGTCGATCCATATGAGTTCTTAATCACGTGAGTTAAAATTGAGCAACAGGGAAATAAAATTTACAATAAAGAATTTTTTTTTGAAGAATAATTATTTTACGAAAAATTTTTTATGCGTAAACAAAAAAAAAATTAATAGATGTACTGTATATAATAAATTGAAACGTTACTTTCTACTAATTCGTTCTTGTTCGTTCTTTTATACTCGTATTTCTCGATTTTGGTACAAGTCACTAATTTTTGTTTATTAATATTTGTCTTAAAAAGAAAAAATGTTGTTTATGGGTACTATTCGAAAATCAACTAAATTTTTATGTGCATTTTTTTCCGATAATTAATCACATATCAATTGGATATCCGTTAATGTAGATTTTTAAAAGATTCACATAAAAAATAGTAAAGTTAAAACGACGCAACCAACTCAAAAAAAAGTAATTTTCAAATTATTTTGATTAGCTCTTTTTTAAAAATAAAATACAATCGCAATTTCTGAACCTGTGTTCATTGATCAAGCAACGCCTCGCCTATATAAATTTTTCTTAAAATGTTATAATTTGAGTAAAAAGTACTCACAATTAAAGCGAAAAATTTAACGCCGTTTTTAATTTATCTTGTTAAATATAGAAAACCAGGTAGACTTAACGCTTTATTTTAAACTGTCCTGTCATTATATATATTATATTTTATTTGACGAATATTAATTTATACATATAGTTTCTGGGGTTAGGCGTATTACATTAAATACCAATGGCCTAACTAAGACTATTAGAAGTAACCCAACGATATTAATAAGAAATTAGTGAAATGTAGACAAAGAATTATCAATGGACTTTTATTAAACAGTATACAATTTTAAAATTTAACACCGCGTTATATAGAAACATAGACATAATTCAAATGTATAAAAAATTAAGCCTTATTAAAAAATCAAAAAAAAGAAAAAATATTATCTGTTCAAAAATTCTAATATTTATAATACGAAGCTTATCAATTCTGGGGATTGAACCTGAACTCCTGATAAAAGTCACCGAAAATACAGTAATTTGGACTAAATGTGTAGACTAAAGATTAATGATTTGCAAATTTATTAAATTATTAACACTTCGTTGCGTTGAACACACAAAAAAAAAATATCATTAGTGTAATCAATTTCCGCTATTTAATTATCACCTATGGACTGATCTTTATTTTAAAGAAAATTTATATATACTTTACAATCAGTTTAGAACCAAAAAAAAAACTATGTATCTAACTAATCAAAAATATTGAAGAAAAAAAAAACATAAGATAATAAATAAAACGTTATTATTGTTCAATAATAAAAATATTTTTTTTTTAAATAGAGTAAAATAATGATTTCTCTCTCCCATATTTTAACACTATGAAACGATTATCTAAAAGCTTAAATATCTAACTATCTGTTTGCATCATATGTTGCAATAACATTTCTCCTACTGCAATATCATCACTAAATTCGTTATTATTATTTTTTGGATGTTCTACATGTTTCAAGAATAAATCTCCCACTGCATTATTATCACTAAATTCATTATTATTATCTGGAACTAGAGGATTAAGTAACTGAGATGTATAATCAGCTTTTACATTATTAATTGATTTTCTGCTTTCAAATGTTAAAAGATTTTTTTTTCTGTATTCTTCTGCTTCTTTGAATTGACTTCTAATTTCATAATGTTGTTGTTCTTTTTTGATCGACCTGATTCGTTTAAATGTAAGTGCATCCATAGTATATGAATGTTGATATAACTCAATCAGTTCACGTATTTCATTAGCACTTGGTCTATTGTCTGGATTTGAATCCCAGCATTTTTTCATTAGGTCTATGTAGCATTTTGATGCTTCTGACTCATATATTACAGGTCTAGTTCCATTACATATACTAAATGCCAAATTTTTATCATGATCACAGTCAGCAAAGGGTTGTCTTCCAGTTGCTACAAAATACATAACCATGCCAAAGCTGTATATATCTGCTGCTCGAGTATAAGGTTTTTCATTTAACACTTCAGGAGCTACATAAGGTAACACTCCATAAATTTTTGTTTCATCTTCATTGTCAACTTCCCCACATAATCCCATATCTGATATATATATATTAAAACCCATTATATTAGCTTCATATAAAATATTACACACATGAAAATCACGGTGAACTAATTGGTTTTGATGAATTTCTTCAAGACCACCAGCAATAATGGCCAACATTTCCAATTTTTCTTCCCAGGGTAAAGTTTCAAAATTCATATTTATACAATCCTTCAAAGTTCCACCTTCTACATATTGAAGAACCATAACATAATCCTTTGTATCTGGAACTTGAGACATTCCATACGTTGCAAGAATACTCCAATCTGTTCCTTCTAATGAATATGCTTTAATCTATTTAAAATAGAAAATCATTATTATTACATTAGATTAAAAGTTATTTAATTAAATTTAAAGATAAAAAATTTTATTATACCTCATTTAGAAATTTATTGCTAATATTCTGTGAATTATTTAAACATTTTAGAGCAATTTTTTTATTTGCGGTCCTTTTATGTCTATTCTCGTCTTTATCATATTCAAATGGACCATCCTTCCATATTGCTGAGTATACTGTAGAAAAACCACCTTTTCCTATTTCCTTAATATCACTAAACTGATCATACGGTATCCATTCAAATACTAACCCATAATAATCATCAATTTTTGATTGCATATATTTTATAAATTTATCAATTCTTTCACTTCCACTGGTCCAATTATTAAAATTTTCATTTAAATGACATAATTTACACCACTTAAAATCAATATTTGCATATTTTACGCCACATTTCTCACAATATTTATCCCTAATTACCATAATATAATCTTTTGTATTTGGATTTTGAGAAATTCCATATACAATATCATAAGACTCCTCAACCTATTAAAGCATAAAAAAATTTTTATTATCATATTAATAATAAAATGTATTAAATTATTAATAGATATACAGTACCTTGTTCAAAAATTCATCAACAATATTTGATGAATTATTTAAAATTTTTAAAGCAACTTTTTGATCTGAATTTCTTTTATATTCATAACTGTTTTTATTAAATTCAAATAAACCATCCTTCCATATTGCTGAACATATCGTAAAAGAATCATCTTTGCCTATTTCTCTAATATCATTTAATTGACTATATGGTATCCATTCAAATACCATATCATCATAATTATCAATCTCTGATTGCTTATTTTGAATAAAATTATCAATTTTTTCATTGCCACTAGTCCAGTTTTTAAAAGTATTTTTTAAGTAATTTAATTGACATGGTTCACACCATTTATATAATATACTCGTATATTCTTCACCACATTTTTCACAATATCCATCACTAAATATTACGATATAATCATTCGTATCTGGATTTTGTGATATTCCGTATATTTTAGGGTCATTATCAGATAAACTATCAGAATCTGATTCACTCGTTAGATATGTTTTGATCTATTAAATGCGAGAAAAAATTATTAGAGAAGTTATAATATTATTAAGAAATATACATAATAAATTAATGGAAAAGTTCATACTTTATTTAAGAATTCACTAACAACAACTTGAGAGTTATGTAAACACTTTAAAGCAACTCTTTTATCTGATTTTCTAGTCAATTCTCTTTTATCGTAATCATAATTTAGTGGTCCACTTTTCCATATTGCTGAATACATTGTGGTGGAATCACTCTTGACAATCTCTTTGACATCGGTAAAATGATCATTTGGTATCCATTCAAAAACTGGATCGTCCGGTACAAATTTCAATTGCATTTCTTGAATAAAATCATCAATAATTTTATTTCCACTAGTCCAGTTTGTGAAATTTTCTTTTAAATAATTTATTATACATTGTCCACACCATTCGAAAGTATCACGCCAATGAGGAATTTCAATTGTATTGTAAGTTACGTATTTCTCACCACATTTTTCACAATATAAATCTTCCAAGACAATAATATAATCATTTGTATCTGGATTTTGAGACAATCCATACATATAAAGTATATTTTCACTCGCTTTAACCTTTAAGATAATTAAAAAAACACATTATTGGGCTAGAAAAGTATTATATTTAAGCCAAATTCATAAAATTCTCATACCTGGTTAAGAAGTTCATTAATGATATCTTGTGATGAATTATATAAACATTTTAAGGCAACATTTTCACATGATTTCCTTTCATATTTGTTTGTATCATCATTATACTCTAACGGACCATCCACCCACGTTGCCTTATATAATATACTAGAATCATTTTTTCCTATTTCTTTGATGTTATTAAACTGATTGTATGGTATCCATTCGAATATATCATCATAATAATTAATTTTTAGTTGTCTTTTTTGAATAAAATTATCAATTATTTTATTTCCACTGGTTTGAATTATAAAATTATTTTTAAGAAAATCCATTTTACATAATTTACACCACTTACGCATTTGATGAACATATCTTTCAATACATTTACCACAATCTCCATTTTGAAGAACAATAATATAATCATTTGTGTTTGGATTTTGAGATATTCCATATACATCAAGTATATTATTATTTTCATAATTTAAATATGTTTTAACCTATTAAAATAAGGAGACAAAAAATTATTATTATTTGTTATTATCAAAAAAAAAAATTGTATATTAAAATTTTCTTCAAAAAAAACTTTTACAAATTACAAACCTCATTTAGAAATTCGTTAATGAAATTTTTTGAATTATGTAAATATTTTAAAGTAAATAATTTATTTGAATCTCTTTCATATTTTTTTGTAGTTCTTTTATACATTAATGGACCATCATTCCATATTGTTGAATAATTCGTAATATTATTATTATCATTACCTATTTTTTTAATTTCATTAAACTGATCATATGATATCCATTCAAATATTATTTCATCATAATCATTAATTTTTAATTGTATTTCTTGAACAAATTTATCAATTATTTCATTTCCACTTGTCCAGTTTATAAAATTTTGTTTTAAATTATTTATTTGACATGATTTACACCATTGATACTTTGTATTTGTATATTCTTCGTTACATATTTCACATCGACTTGAATTTTTTTTTTCTGAGGATGTGTGACTTGAAGTGACAGAGTGATCTTCAGATTCATCTAAGTCAAGGTCAAGGTCAAGGTCAAGATTATTAAAGTCATCATTATCAAAGTCAAAGTCTTCTTCCATCATTTCTACATCCTCTGTTTCATAATTATTGTCCGACATTATGAATATTTTAAGAATTTTTTTAAAAAATTTAGCGAAAATGTTTAAAATTTCTACTGCTAGGAGTAAGTATCACAATGAATGGGACGCCCAAAATGAGAAGTGTCCGTGATCGACAGTCAAAGATTTTCCACAAAATGACAAAAATATAAGTATTTATTGTACTACAGTATGTAATGCTAAGCTAATCAAATTAGTCATACCTCGTGTGTCACGTCCCGTAGTGGTACCAATTACCAAACCGCCCTATAACTCTGATCGGCGTGCATTTTAGCGTCATGTTTTTCAACTAAAAAACCTTAAAAGCAAATAACATGTCATTTCAAAACGGGAACAAAATAAATGAAAGATGTGAAAAATGTGATGAACAAGCCACAAAAGAATGGTGTAAATCATGTCGAATAAATTTTTTTAAAGAAAATTTTACAAATTGGACGAGTGAAAATAAAAGAATTGATGATTTCATTCAAGAAGTACAATTAAATATTAATTGTAATGATATAGTATTTGAATGGATACCATATAATCAATTTGATAATATTAAAGAAATAAAGAAAGATAATGTTATTATATTAAAATTGTCAACATGGAATAATGGTCCATTAAGTTATAATCGTGATGAGAGGAAATGGATAAGAGAACCAAATAAGAAGATTACTTTAAAATGTATATGTAATTCCCAAAACAATATTAATGGATTTTTAAATGAGGTAAGAAATTTTATAAATTGATTTAAATAATTTTTTTTAATTCAAATAGTAATTTTTCTTTTTTTTTCACTTATTCTTGATAGGTTAAATCGTATTCAACAAATATCTATGAGGTTGAAAGTAAAATATATGGAATATCTCAAAATCCGGATACAAAGGATTATTTAATGATTTTTGAAAATGAGTATTGTTGGAATTGTGGTGAAAAATATACAGATGCAAATAATGAATGGTGTAAATCATGTCGAAGAAATTATTTGAAAAATAATTTTACAAATTGGACCAGTGGAAATGAAAAAATCGATACTTTCATTCAAAAAATGCAATTAAAAATCAATTATTCACCTGATATAGTAATTGAATGGATACCATGTGATCAATTTTATAATATTAAGGAAATTAGCAATAAAAATTTCACCATAGTATATTCAGCAATATGGAAGGATGGTCCATTACGTTATGATTATGATAAAAAGGAATGGATAAGAGAATCAGAAAAAAATGTTGTTTTAAAATGTTTATATAATTCACAAAACATAATTGATGAATTTTTAAATGAAGTATGAAATTTCTTGATAAAGTATTATGAATTTATATATGTATACTTAAGTGATAATAATTTTTTTTTTTCTATTATATAATAGGTCAAAACATATTCAACAAATGTTTATGGTGACGATGATAATATTTTAAATATATATGGAATATCTCATAATCCAGAAACAAAAGATTATATTATGGTCTTACAAGATGGATATTGTAAAGAATGTGGCGAACAATATATTGATAAATGGTGCAAATCATGTCAAATAAATTATTTTAAAAGAGACTTCATAAATTGGACGAGTGGAAATGAAAATATTGATAATTTTATTCAAAATATACAATTAAAAATTAGTAACCAGTCTGATATAATATGTGAATGGATACCATACGATCAATTTAACAATATTAGAGAAATATGCAGGAGTGATCTCATTACAATACATAAAGCAATATGGAAGGATGGTCCATTACATTATAATAAAAATGAAAAGAAATGGATAAGAGAATCGGATAAAAACATTGCTTTAAAATGTTTGTATAATTCGCAAAACAATGTTAATAAGTTATTAAGTGAGGTATGGATAGTATTTCTTTATGAATTTATTTTAAAATATATAATAATGATTTTTATTATTAATAGGTCAAAGCTTATTTTGATAATAATGACGTTGTTGATAACAATGATGTTGAAATGTTAACAAATATTGATAATATCAGCGATAGCGTTAATGTTGATGATGCTGATGTTGATATTAATATTGATGATGATGATGATATTTACGCCGATGATGATGATAATATCAATGCTGATGATGATGATATTGATGACATTGGTGTTGATGATGATATTGATGTTGATGATGATATTAATATTGATGATGATATTGATGTTGATGATGATATCGATATTGATGATAACGATAATAATACTAATTCTATCAAAATATATGGAATATCTCAAAATCCAAATACGAAAGATTATATTATTGTTTTGCAAGATGTATATTGTAAAGAATGTGGTGAAGAATATGCAGATGTAGATGACAAATGGTGTAAATCATGTGTTATACGTGATTTAAGAAACAATTTCGCAAACTGGACTAGTGGAAATAAACATATTGATGATTTAATTCAAGAAATGCAATTAAAAGTTGATGATTCATATGATTTATTATTTGAATGGATTCCATATGATCAGTTTAATGATATTAAAGAAATTGGTAAAGGTGGTTTTGCTACAATATATTCAGCAATATGGAGTGATGGTCCTCTATATTATGATATTATTAATAGAAGAAAGGAATGGATAAGAGATCCAGATAAAAATGTTGCTTTAAAATGTTTACATAATTCATTAAATATTAGTAAACAATTTTTAAACGAGGTATCAAACTTTTTTTTTTTTTAGAAATTTAAATTTAAATAAAATTTTTTATTAATAAATATTCTATATTTTGATAGATTAAAGCATATTCGATAGCTAATTCTAGTAAGATTCTTAAAGTATATGGAATATCTCAAAATCCAGTCACAAAAGATTACATTATGGTTCTTGAATATGCAGGTGGAGGGAATTTTAATGATTGGATAAATAGAAATTATAAAAAATTTGATTGGAATGAAAAATTATCTATATTATTTGATATTTGTGAAGGTCTTAAAGAGATTCATGAAAATAAAATGGTTCATCATGATTTTCATACAGGAAATATATTATTTGCGTATCAAGATGAACGTGATATATATATTTCAGATATGGGTTTATGTGGAGAAGTTTCAGAAGTTGATAATAATACAAATGAATCGAAAATTTATGGAGTTATGCCTTATGTAGCTCCTGAAGTATTATACGGAAAACCTTATACTCAGCCAGCTGATATATACAGCTTTGGTATGATTATGTATTTTATAGCAACTGGAAGAAGACCTTTTTTTGATTGTGCTCATGGAGATAATTTAGTATTAAACATATGTGGTGGAATTAGACCAGAAATAAATGAGCCAGAAGCGCCAAAATGTTATATTGATTTAATGAAAAAGTGTTGGGATTCAAATCCAAATAATAGACCAAATGCTGATGAAATTCAGGAATCGATTTATTTATTTGAAAATTCATATAATCAAGAATTTGATATGCGAAAACAGCAATATTATGAAATTAATAAACAATTTAATGAAGCAGAAAAGTATAGAAAATTACACTTTTCATTTGAGGACAACAGACCTACACATCCTAAAGCTGTTTATACTGCTCGGTTACTTAATCCTTATACAAAAAAGCTTCCAAAATATGATGATAAAATCTATGAATTCAGTGATGATATGGTAGTTGAATTGTTAAAGGATGGTATTATAACAGAAAATGAATCTGATTTTGAATCTACTAAACCAAATACTGAACCTAAGGAAAACCCCATAGAATTTGAATTTAGTGACAATATTGCAGTAGAAGAATTATTACTAAAGCATGTGACGGAATTAGAATAATTGGATATAATTGAATTGATTTCATAATTTTTAATTTTATTATTCACAATCAAGTTTTTTTATGAATTTGAACGTTAATTCGAATGTTAATTTTTGTCTTATTATCTTGGTAAATTATGAAGAAAGTTTATTTAATTATAGTATAACAGATAATACTCATGTCTTATTGTTTTTTGTTATTTTATTAAAAATAAAAATGCTGTTCTTAATCACTTGTAATGAAAAAATAAATAAATTTGGTATCATAAATTAAAAATTAACTAAGAATCTAAAAAACTTGGATAATATCTATATTTTGAAGCTATAAATTCCGTGAATATGATTCATACATTTACAGAAATTGCATGGAATAAAAAATCAAAAATATGGAAATAAATTTTTTAAGATAGAAATAAAAAGTATTATAATGATACAATAGTTTTTTAATATTAAACAAGTTAGCTAAAAAAATTTTATGAAGTTGAGAAATAAAAGATGCTGGGACTCGCATTGGTTGGCATAGTTACCCCTCCTTGTTTGATTTAGAAATTTTTTAGTAGGAAAAATCCAATGTACACCACACCTAATTCGAGCCGAATGTCATAAATGCTCAGCCATTTCGGAACATTTTTTCGTGAGAAGCTTCAACATGAGACAGCGGAGAATCCAAAGGACCAGGAGGCACCAACGATTTTCCAGAATGTTTCTTCTGTAAAAAAACATTTCAATTCTTTGATGATCAGCAAAAGATTACTCATCTGGAAGAGAACTGAATCTGAACAACATGCTCGAGAATGTCTTATTAATTTTTAAGTTAAGTATATTTTATTATTAGTTATAACTTAAGAGTTAGAGTAGGCTCAAGAACTAGAATATGTTCCAGTCCCGAGACAATTACGTGACATATTAATAAATCCCCGAATAGTCAGCTTAGTAACGCCTCGGCTGGTGAGAGTGAAGTGACATCTTCCTTCGGCGTTCTTGAATATACATAGTTATTGCTATAACGCAACTGGGTGGAAACGTTCTAACCGGTTGTCAGGACACATTCCATGTTATAGTCTACTTCATATAAATTTTGGATAATAGTTCAAAAAATATGTTATCTAGCTTTATACTAATATGCGTTTTTTTTCATAAAAGAAAGAGAAATCTTTCGTAAGTGTAGACAATTTCTGAATGTCAGTTGATAAAAAATTCAACAATAAGATAATCGAATGTATTGAGGTTGGTAAACCATTTATATTTAACTCATATTCCGATTAAAATCGCTAAATTTCTGGTTTATTATTATGAATAGAGCAGATTCGCTTATGACTCCCTTGTAGGATGCTATTGGGCAATAGACCAGGATATTTGGAAATTCGTGCATAATATTACAGAAAGCCGCGTTTTTGACAAATTTTTAAACAATTCCTCGCTTGAATAACCTTTTTCCACAATTCAAATTATACATTGGCCTTTAACCAAAGATTGGATACACCACAATCACATTTCTGATATCTGCAGTGACCGCAAGATGGCTTACCAGTCTTTCAAAATCAAGGGTCTCAATCATATTTTGCCGTGTGGCAAAATTCTATTGAAATATTATAAGAATCTTTACCAATCAACTGGCGTTCCTTGCCCTATCTGTTCTGAACAACCGGATACCAACTATCATTTAGGTTTTTGTACACCTTTGCGTCCTAATCTTCAAAGGACACTAACTTCACACAAATCTATTCTCTGAAACATAATGGCTGCACATATCCCTGATCCTGGTCTAATCGAATTTTTACCAAACAGTATCAATCAACTGTCCTTGTTCGATTCAGTTACAGACTCATCACATGAAATTTATTTGATTATTCATCAATTGGTTCTCAAAGTCTTATTGACATGGTGCATTTGTACACACACAATTATTCATTAACCAAAAAAATCACGTTCGAATTCCTTTCATCACTCCAAATTTACTTTTACGGGGAACTTGGACTACACATGATACCAGTGGGAAAAGACCATCAATATCTCCAAAAAGGATAAAAAGAAACGCTCACAAACACCCAAACGTGCCAAAACATCGTGCCCTTTAAAGACGCAAGGTACACCGGCTCAGTCCTCTGAGTCGCCTATTCCCTTGTGGTTGGTTCTGATCACATCGAATTATTTTACATTCTGGTGAATGGACCTCTTTTCTTAAATATAATGCTTATAGAGATTTTATAGATAATAACGTTTCTTTTTTTTTACTTTTTATTCTTCTTTTTTCTCTTTACATTTGACTTTAGGCAATGCTGGTCATGCCTAGTGTTGTTTTTCAAAATAACAGGCAGGACGATTTCTTCTTTGAGGGGTTGGGTACATACGCGTACGATGGTCATGGTAGTTTTCTTTTGTAAGGGCTCAGCCCACAAACTTGTGACTCTCATCATTGTCTATATTTTAAAAATAAAAATAAAAATAAAATAAAGTACCATCAAAGGGATGGACATTTTTTATAATAAAATCAATTAGAGATTATTCTACCCTTAAAAAACAATATATTTATCCTAAAAAATTACTAGTGAAAATTTCCTTTATAATAGTAGTTATAATTATATATACACTGCGAATTTATGATTTGTATAAGTATGAAGTTAGTTCAAATTAGAGATTGGAACCGGTTAAGGTTAACCAGTTAATTAACCGGTTAAGGCGGTTAACCGGTTAAGACCTCTCAAAAAACGGTTAACCGGTTAAATTAACCGGTTAAATTAACCGACTAATTAACCGGCTAACTTAACCGGTTAAAATACAGATCATCCTAAATTAGTAATTCCTAGCCAACTTCTAACTTTAACTTTACTAGCATTAACTTTAATTTTGCCCACCATAATAGATTCGATGATAAACCTGCAATCTTATATTTTAATATAATATATTGCATATGATATTTATAATTTAACATTATTTATGTTAAAATATTCTAAAGTTATAACCTTGATTTATGCAGAAATCAGCATAT